TAACCCAATAGCTACCCAATAGCCAATAGCCCAATAGCCAACAGCTTTGAGCTCACTTGTCTACACGTTTTTTTTGCTCATCACACTCAGCAATCAAAGAGTTTAGAAATTAGTTGTAAAGCTAAACAGCTTTGAGCTCACTTGTCACAAAAGTCGAAAATTGTTGATCAAATCCATCGATTTACTCACCGAATCGGCACCACTAAACGATCGTTGGTGGCAGCGACAAAAATGGCGAATGGAAAGATGAAAAGGCTGATGATAACGGGCTGAAAGTTTTGGTTTAGAGGGGGGGTTTTTTTTGACTCAACACCACGATTGATCCTACGTAGATGACCTCGTTGATTTGTTTCGCACAACTTGAATTGACATCAATCACATTCGTAAGGACTCTCCAATTTAGGTCGTTGATGTAATCGAAGAGGATGTGAATGGCTGAAAGTTGGCGATTTGAATCTACTAGTCACTATTCAACTAGTGAAAACTAGTCAAACTCGTCACTAGGTCTGGTCTAATTGGTAACTCATCAAAATTCTATACAAAATCATTTTGAAAAACTTTGATATTTGAACAGGTTTTACCGTCTAAAAGCTATCGAAAACCGAAAGACGGTATGAAAGATACGATCAAGCTGGTTTGTGATACGATCAAATGTACCCTAAAGTCGCGAGTATAAGTTCTGTTTGGTTTTCGCATGCAAATTGACGGCTGTCTCCGGCGCGGTGTGTCGAGGGTTCGAACCCCGCTGCAGCATAACCTTTTTGCTTTTTAAGAACAATAATAGAAGTAAATTTATTGAGGGTTATAGCAATTTTATGCTGTTATTTGTTGCTCCGGGCGTGGCTCGGCGCATCCGCCCTGCTCCTCTCCGGTGCTCAGTCTTATGGATCCCTCCCTGGCCTCTTCATCCGGCCAAAGTCCACGTCGAAGGTCGAAAGAGATGCTTTCCAGCGTCTTCTTCAACACTATCGTCTGGATGTATCCATGGACATAACAAATAGCAATGGTGATAGGCTGTCACCCTGTAGTATCCCGCGCTCCAAGAACAATAATAAAAGTTTATATAACAATAAAAATGTATAAAAACCCAACAAAAAGAAATTCAAAGCAATTAAAGCGAATGTAAATTAAGGCAGAACTTATACTCGGATCAACTTATACTCGAGACTTTAGGGTAATACAGTCGAAAATCTAATTAGTGACCACTTCAACAATGGTTTAACTAACCTTGTAAGTGGCCGAGGTTAAATCAAAACTTATCTGGACCTCTTTAGCGATCCAACCACGATAACTTTGATCCCTTTGATAGGTCCCTACCGAGCTTTAACTGTACATTTCAAGGGGATCTCTGAGTCTTGAGAGTTGACGCATGTTGAAGCTTCTTAGGCCTTGGTCGCGCTGGGTCCTCGTATTGTGGCCGAGTAGATTTTTCTCCAAGGCGTGTGCTGCTGACATTGCCTTCTCGTTTGTTGTTGTCATCGCCCAGGTCTCGGTTCCGGAGACGAGTGCTGGAAGGACGAGCTGGAAGGACGGTGCTATCGAAGAGATGAGCTCTTGTCTTCTTATCGTTCTTGAGCATCTTGGTGACCTCCTTGATGCTTCCCAGAGTTTCCCCGAAAGCTTCCCGCTAATTGCTGAATGAAAACTCAAATTCACCTTCCAAAAGCAGTGCCAAGACAAGAACAATAATTAATTCTCGATATCGACACAGAGAGCTCATTCGAAAACTTTTCAAACCAACATTTTCAGAGATCATTCAAACTAACATTTTCAACATTCTTGATTTCAGCATTTTCCCATATGGTTAGACACTTTCAACAAAATCTCTTGATTGACTTGGGAAATTTCTCAATTTTTCCAGACTTTCAAAAAAAAATTGATTTATGAGTGAAGTAAAAAAGATAAAGAAAGTTTAATTTGCTTAGTAAAGAGAGTTTAACTTGCTTAGTAAAGAAAGTTTAACTTGCTTAGTAAAGAAAGTTTAATTTGCTTAATAAAGAAAGTTTAATTTGCTTAATAAAGAAAGTTTAACTTGCTTAGTAAAGAAAGTTTAATTTGCTTAGTAAAGAGAGTTTAACTTGCTTTACGTGTAAAACTTTTGAAACACATTGACAGTATCTTTTTAAAAACACACCAATTTTATATTCAAAACTTTCTTCATCGTGTCAACTGACACTTAGAATCAAAAACTGAATCAATAAACCACAAATTTTTAAATTTTTTTGAGGCTTATCTGAACCTACAAATTAAGTTTTTTTGCAATGTTTAAACAATAGAAAATCAAAAGAAAGCGGTTGCGCATCGCCCAAAAACTGCAAACATTCCAGCAAAGAACGAGATTTTCCAACAGAATGGACTAAACTATTGGGTTGATGGAAAAGTCCTTTCCGATTCTTTGGGAGAGTGCCTTAAATTTGTCGAATTTTGACGTTTTATAGCTCATCCTAAAGCTGAATTCAAGACGGATCGATTGGTAAAAACCGTTTTGAGATATCTCTTTTCTAAAAGTTTTTACATCTATTTTAGTAAAGGATGGCAGAGCCAAAAAATGGCTGTTTTCACGTTTCGTTAGTTTTCCGTGCAGAAACCTAGGCTAAAAACATGTGTTTCGTGATCAGCGTCAAAAATAACCCCTAGACACGCATTTTCAGAATCTTAGCAAAAATTTTTTGAAAAATATTGTCACCGGTGGAAGTCGAACGAGCGACCCTCAGATCAATAGCCTTTCCGCCGCTTTTCGCGATTTTCCTTCGTTTTTCCCCCTTTTTTTTTGTTTTATCATTTTTGTGATGTTGCTAGAAGGCTTTTTTTCAGGAATGTCGTGTCAAGTTGAATCGGAGGAGCACCAGCGACACCTGTTTTTGTATGCATTCAACCGAAAACTCAATGCCGCTTGGTAAAAATGATAAAAACCGGTAATTGGTAAAAACCGTTTTGAGATATCTCTTTTCTAAAAGTTTTTACAGCTATTTTAGTAAAGGGCGGCAGATGTGGCGAATTGCCACTGCTCTGCAGTTAGTCGAAAATTCAATACACAAGTTAAAATTCAAAGTTGATGGATAAACTACCGTAATCAGTCACTAGACGATATTCAGCTGTCCGTTTGTTGTAGCTTGTATACTTAAAAACCGGTTATTTAAGCTTTGCTTTTTGAGTGAGTCTTGTTCTCCTTTTTTTTGCTTTTTGATCATCCTGTTTTCACATTCAAGTGTTGATTTAATTGTGATAGTGCCAGGTTGCTCCAGTTTGAGCGAAGTTGCCCTAATAAGGGAAAGTTGGATAAATTGTGCGTTTTCAAGAAGACAACTATTGAACCACACCGAGACACGGTCTCAGAAGAAATTATATATTAGGTTGATGCATAAGTCTTTTCGTTTTTTTCGTACTTCTGTTAAAAAGTAACAAATTCACGAATTAATCTATAGTTTGCTCTATAAAAAAAGTGTTTTTTTTGTTCAATTTGCATCTTTTTAAATGAATTTCGGTTCACTTTCAAGCAAATTCGAGAGTGAAAAACGCCTTTTTCGTAAAAATCTATAAAAAACTCTACGGAATTATTATGGAACTTGCTCCCAAACGACATACGAGAAATTCAGTCGCTTTTCATATTCAAGAAACGTATCGATGCTTTAGATCTAGTGGCTCTTTGCCGTAAGTAATTGGCTTATTGATTTCAGTATGTATTGTATGATTAAGTATCACTGTGCATTTCTCTATGATTTCTTTCACTTTATCGTTTCAATAAAGTATTATTATTATTATGAATAGAAGAACCGTGACATTTTTAATGACTTTGACAATCCTAGCCGATCAGTACAAAAAATGATCTGCTGAAAAACAGTTAAATTCGAGTTTGGGGTTTCTAAAACTAAATTCAGGTTTCTAAAATCGTCTCTTTCAGTCTTTTTTTTGCACTAATACGTTTTTAGAGGTAATTACTATTTTACTATTACTATAAAAGTAGTGCTTTTTTGAACTCCATTATTGCAAACGCAATGTTATCTTTTATCTTGTCTAACAAAGAGATGGCAACATTTTTGACAAATTCACATTACGGTTCTCCTATTCTATGTAAAATTACGCGTAGATTTTATGATTAATTGTTGTTTTTTTAGCTTGGGTTAAAGGGGGGTATTAATCGCGGCCGGGTGATGATAAAAAATTTTTACGGCAACCACCTGTTTTTTTTATTTTAATATCGCTGATTTTATTATAAAAAGAATAAAAATCACCCGGCTAGAGTGATTTGATGGGTTTACAAATTTTTGGAGACACTGCAAGGCTTGGAGAAAGGCTTGGAGGTTGCCGTAAAAAAAATTTTATCGTCACCCGGCCGCGATTAATATCCCCCCTTTAATGTATTGCCCTAGAAAGCCAAAAAGATGCATTAAGCGCTAAACGAATGCCGCACCCCCGTCATATGACTGACTGAATGATACAGTGCTGGACAAGGAAATATCATATTTGAAAAACGATCGTCACTTTCGCACGTCTGTAACTCGCTTGTCTTTGTAACTCCCTTGTCTCTGTAACTATTAGTGTTATACATTTTCTGAAAGCTCTTTTCAAGGGCTACACAATGGTAATATGAATATTTAGAAATACGGTAACGACAAGGGAGTTATAGACGCGCGAAAGTGACGATCGTTTTTCAAATATCATATTTCATTGTCCAGTACTGTAGTTGCTTCACTAGCAAAGCAAAGCAAGCAAAACAAAGCAAAGCAAAGCAAAGAAAAGCAAAGCAAAGAAAAGCAAGCAAAGTAAAGAAAAGCAAAGAAAAGCAAAGCAAAGAAAAGCAAAGCAAAGAAAAGCAAAGCAAAGCAAAGCAAAGAAAAGCAAAGCAAAGAAAAGCAAGCCTAACAATGAGCTACAAACGTGGTTTTGAAGTAAACTTATTAGCAAAACTTTTAACCGTCTTATATTATGGTAATTGCTACTATAATTTTTCTCTATTTTTAACCGTTAGTTTCAGTTTTATTTAGAAATTTGTTCCTCGAATGGAGGCTATTGGAAAATATAAGTACATCGAGTTCTACGCTACTCGAAACGACACAATCTGGTTAAGCATGGATATCAAAGAAATGAACGCTCAAATTTTTGGAGGAGTAATATAAAGTTAGCAAATTTAACAAATTACTATATTTTAGATAGTTGTATTCGGTCTGCTAGCCATTTATCTAGTCAATCTCGGGTCGGCACTTGTCTTGTTCCAACAATTAAGACGACAACAAGCTCAAATGTCGGAAAGCACTTACAAATCGCACACTTCAGTTCTCTACATGCTTGTCAGTCAAGTAAGAGAACTTAATACAGATGATAATATTCTTTGTTTGATTTTTACCTTTCTTAAAGTTGAGTGGGGTAGAGTGGGATTAAGCCTGTAATCTAGACGACAAAATACTGCAAAATACTGCAACGATCATGAAATTCAACGATATTTATTGTCAGAACCTGTACACTTACACTTTCAACACTGTTTTCCCTTTACGTTTATCCTTGTTTCAAGAACATGTACCCCTTCTTGGTGATGATGTTACCAGTTTGCTACACGATATTTGCATTTGCCAGCGACTCATCATTTCTCCTCGCCTCGAGTTTCTATAAGCATGTTGCCTCCTGTGGACTGATGATCTATCCGGTCAGTTGGGAAAATGACAAATGGAAAAAATGGCAAAACTGAAGGGTCGCCCCATTCTGCTTTGCCCCGGGGCATCTATTTTTCCATCTATGGATGGGGCTTTCTTGGATCTTTCTTCACTGATCGAACCAAAGCAGTGGCATTTCTTAGGGGAACTTTTGGTCGTGGTAAATTTATTATACAGTAGGGGTCATAACTTTGAACACACCTCGCGCGTTAAACTAGAATTTGTTCGTTCTTTTTGCTAATAAGAGCTTTTCTACCGAAATCGACTATTTTATACAGTTTTTAGCCCTTTTCATTATTTCTGCATGAATTTGGCTTTTGATTTTCATTCTCATTTATTTTTGAGCTACTTTACCCGAGACACCCACTTTCTAGGGGGTCATAACTTTGGACACACTTGTTGAATACATGGTTTTCTTTAGATACCATCAAAGAAAATCTTGTCTAACGACTTGAAGGAACGTTTGGTAGCCAATATGAGTCAAGGAGTGTCGTCTAGGGATGCTGCAGAGATGTTTAAAATCACGTTATCGGCGGCTGCTAAGGTCTACCGCAAATGGAAAGAAACAGGATCGATGGAACGGAAAATTGGTGGAGGACCACGACCAAAAGTTCCCCTAAGAACTGCCACTGCTTTTCCCTTTGTATCTCTGCTTAGGACTACTTAAAACAATTCTGAATCTAATCCTATTTAGGCTATGAGCTGTTTGGTATCGATTCTCGTCATGAAACCCTATCGTGAATACGTGAAACGAAAGTTGTACGGATGGAAAGTGAGAAGTGTAGTAACAACAGAGGGAAATTCGAAGCAAGGAAATTTATGGTAAAGAGGAGTGATAAGCCTGGTGAATGTGCTCGCAATTCAGATCTCAGTGAATGGAAGCTCCCAACGGATAAGTTACGATTTCTGCGTCTTACAAAAAGCGGGAAAGACAAAAATGAGAACTTTCCCTATTCTTATTCTTTGAACTTTTGGCCATTCCCTTTTCGAAGCCTGTCAATTCATGACATTGACATTGACATTGACAAATCATTGACAAATCATGTATATTGCAAAACCTTTTAAGTTTGATCCAAAGCTTTCAAGAGATACATGGATATCGGGAAACAATATGGGAAGCAGTGCATCTGAAAAACATAAAAATAAACATTTTCGTCAGCAAGCAAGCAACTTTCCATCTCTGACATAACATACAACATAACAGACAGCATAACATCTCTGACATAACAGACAACACAACATCTCTCACATAACAGACAACATAACATCTCTGACATGTTAGCTTTTATTTGGACAATTCAAGTTTCAGCAAAAATTCAAAAACAGCAAAAATAGACAAAGATAAATTAGCCAAACTAAAGCTAAACAGTATCATATTTAAAAGAGATGCACTCATTGTCAGCTTAATCATTCATATGTTTCGCGATTTTAAACATAGCAAGTTTCAATTTTTTTCTCTTTGTGACAGCAATAAAATAAAGGATTTCCTTCTAAATTCTTCGCGAAAGCCGCTTCAAGGCGTATTCGTCATGTTCTTCTTTCTCATCAAGAACGCTCCTTGCCTGAAAAGGAAATTAGAAGCTCACTTGTCAATCCTTTACCTTCGCCTTTTCCAGATATGGATGCTTCAAGAGCTGTGCCGCAGTTGGTCTTCGCGGGTTTACGCAAAGCATCTTTGACAATAGGTCTTTCAAATTTTCATCTGAAATTTTTTAGTTATAATTTTGTAATTTAGTTGAATGAAAAGGGTTAAACTTTGGTTTTTAGCTAAACAAAATACTTATTTAAGTCTTTATTATGTTGCTTACTTTCTCTATGATAGTGTGGACAAACCCACTTGACAAAAAACGAATGTCTCCATGCAATCGTTGGAATGCTTGACCTAGAAGACTGTTTAACGAAGAGGGACGGAGCATTTCTCCTTGGAGACGGTCTTGGAAACTGAAACATTTTTTGCCATATCAAAAAATTCGCCGAGAGGTTATCAACTGTTTGAGAGTTATGAGAAGTTCACGGAAATACAAGGGAAGCGGCAGAGCGATCCGATGTTTTTCGCGGATTTCTCGAATGATATTGCTGTTGTTTGTAAAAATTAGAATAAGAAAAGTACATGAAAGCTATTGAAAAAAAGAAAAATTTTAACTAGGATAAACATTTCTAGTAAAATATAGGATGAAAACTTGGAGGAACAGAAAATAGAATGATCAGCGAGACGGGTAGAAGCTTAGCAATAATAATCCTTAATGTTGCTAGAATAAAACAAGTCACATGGTCGCATGTAGATACTGTAATAACCCTATTTTAGAGAAATATCGTTTAGTATGTGATTTTAATTGGGGAAAAATAAAGAAAAAAAATATGGATAAAGTAGTTTCAACTAAAGTTACACAGCGAAGAGAAACATAAAAGGGGAACTCCGAATACTGTTTTTGTAGAGACGGATTTCTGATAAATCTCTCTAAAACACATTTATTCGATATTTGAGCCACAAATTCGACTCTTTGACACAAGCAAATGGAATCACAGAAAACAGACAAGAAAGTACAAAACAAAACAAGTGTCAGGGTTAAGAGGTTTCTTTTAATCGGCCATAAATGCAAATCAACCGGTACGCGTAGACGAAGTGTAACGACCCTAAAACGAAATAGATAGGTAGATACATAGCCATCAGAATTCAAATTGTTGAACAAAACACAAAACCCACCATGATCCAATTGCGTCCTTCGAACGGTTGTGGCTTACGCTTCTCGGTGCTCCAACCGATCCGCTGCATTGTCGTTGATCCACCTCGATTGTGTTGATGATGATAATGATGAGGATGAGTATGCTGATGTGGATAGTGCATTGGATGGCGGTAATTTTGAGCATGCGGGTGGGTAGAGACATGACCACGCTCCCACTAAAAATGTAACATTAAAAAGCAATAACAATCTGATGAACGATCAAAAATGACATCGTAAAACACCGACCACAAGCGCCGTTGAAGCTTTATTTGCCTTTATCGTCGATGAAGAGTTGTCGGCTTTGCTGCTTGAATTTGAAGAAATACGTGCACCATTTGACGCAAAAAGGTGAGAAGTTGCAGAGATACGAATTGGGCACTGGCGGACGTCGTTTGAATAAACTTCGCTTTTCTCATTCCGCAAGATCTAAAAGCAAACAATAAATTATTGAACAGAATTTAATTGCCAGCAAAACATTCCAATATACCTTCATAGTCGAATGTTGTGTGCCATGTTCTTGGCCCTCGACGAGCGGTCCAGGCAATTCATCGGGATCACTGTCATTTTCATCCAATTCATCATGTTCCTCGTGACGACGATGCTTATGTTGATTGGCTTGTTGTTCCCAGTTTGGACTAAAGAAAACTTTCTAAGCGCAATCAACAATTTCATCAACCTTCTCATATAAATACAATGGTCTTGTTTTCCCTCTTTAACAGCACGCTCTTGCCAAGCCTCGCGTTCGACTCTAGTCAGCTTGAATGAAAAGTGTGAAAAAGAACAGTTAGATTAAACTCACTGTGTCCCAGAAAGGCAATGCTCGAGAAACCACTTCGGAAAAGGAGGTAAACGTGTGAGAGCAGTGCTTCTCCACCCATGGACGCATCACTTCCGCAAATGTTGAAACGCCAGCTGATACGTACATTCGACGAGTCTAAAGTAAATGATAGTGTTGATTTGAAAAGAAAAACAAGCAATACACACCTTTCCAACAGAATGTATCCACTTGACGCCGGGAATTTTCTGGTGCTCAAGCGAGTGACCGATGAGTGTAGGATGTAGGCCAGGTGGGTGCTGTTGTTGATTGAGCACTCGATGCATCGATGACTGGTTTGGCGGAAGATACGGTGTTGCTGGATGTGGTGCTTGTCGAGGAGCTGATTGGTGATGAGCACGAATTGAAAAAGGTAACATCGGTGGAGGGATCATTCGAAAGGGCCGAGAAGCCGGCACAACCATCACGGGACGACAACGTCGATTTCCGCTTTTCGTTTCACTTGTATCTCTAAACAATGAAAATAAAATAACTCTAAAACCTATCAGGTACCAGTAAAATAAAGTCGTTACTGTACATGTTAGCTACTCTCCATAAAACAAGCGCACCTTTGTGCGAGAAGTGGAGCTATCCAATCAGCCAATCCATTTGTGGTCGACATTTCGTGAATCGTTTGCTGTCCGTTCGCCGTCCTTAACGAAACATCTATTCGGAGATCCAGGTTTTCTTGATCTAAATGAGAAAACATTACAAATGTTTGAACTTTATACGAAAAACGCGCGCGCTCTTGCAAATTAACAAATTGTCAGTGTTTGAACTTTATACGAACAACGCGCTCTTGCAAATTAACAAATTATCAAAGTGTTTGAACTATATACGAACAATGCGCGCGCTCTTGCAAATTAACAAATTATCAAAGTGTTTGAACTTTATACGAACAACGCGCGCGCTCTTGCAAATTAACAAATTAACAAATTATCAATGTCAAATTAACAAAAATTAAAGCGAAGCAAAAACGAATTACAAATAACCCACCAAAATGAAGCTGAAAATCAAGGATTACAAGTAAAAAATGATTTTGCAAGTTGTTTTGGTTGTTTAAAAGTGATCATTGAATGTAAATTGAATTTTATGCTGATCTTTAGATGTTTCGTCTGAGACGTCTGTCTTAGATGTTTAAATGTAAAAATTTAACATATGTAAATTTATTAAAAGAGCTTTTGTCTCGAGATCAATGCCTTCGAATGTCGTTCTCTTTGCCTCTAAAATTTTATTTTCGAATTCCCACTTTTGGGATAACTCACTGCACATCGTAGCACACTTGCCATTTCGTCATCGGGCGGCAATATTTCGGTTGGCACGATTCCCAGACCTAAACATTTCTTACAGTTACAGAATACCGTCTGGTTACAGAATACCGTCTGATTACAGAATACCGTCTGATTACAGTATACCGTCTGATTACAGTATGACAATAAATACACAGGCAGTAAGATTCATTTAAAGTTCCTGTTGGCTGACTTTCGAACAAACGCTTTTTAAAACGTGTCCCCTTTCTCGATTACCGTAAACACATCGTAGCACACTTGATTCTCCTTGATGAATCCCTAACCTGGACTGAATACCGTAATCTAGCTATTCCAGACTGAATACCCCATTCTAGATTGAATACCGTAATCCAGACAATCTTGACTGAATACTCTAATCTAGACTGAAGACCCTAATCGGAACTAAATCCCTAAAACAACTAAAAAATTCACTTGATTCTCCTCGGGGATCAGTCTTATCTAGTCTTGTCTCTAGTCTTATCTAATCAATCTACTTTTTGTATCTTTCGATATCCTTCGTGAATCCGCACAGAATCAGGTCAAGAATTGATAGATTGGATAAAAGTAGAGGTAAGATTACAGTAGTTTTCTCAAGTTCTTCTTTTCTTTTGTTCTCAAGTTGTTCTCAAGTCTTAAAAAACGTTTCAAGCTACAGTACCTTTAAGCTACAGTACCTTTACCTCTTCGTCACCATTCAAAATGATATCGCCCATGTAATAAAAGTAATCTTCCGAGGGAGCCTCCTCGGGGATCAGTTGAAGGCATTCGGTGCGAAAGTTCTGAAATTCATTTTACTCAAAGATAACTCTATAATGTGTGAAATTTCACTGTTTATGAAAGAATGTTAATTTAATTTACCGTATTTCTTCGAATAGAAGACCGGGTAAAGAGTATGATCGCGTACTCTTGCGTAGCAGCCCTTTTTAAAATTTCTTTTTTGCATAAAAGCTTTCAATGAAGTGCTATAGGGCTGGAAAATGACTCAAAAATACCACATGAGCTAACAGATTTTTGAGCCATTTTCCAGCCCTATAGCACTTCATTGAAAGCTTTTATGCAGAAAAGAAATTTTAAAAAGGGCTGCTACACAGGAGTACGCGATGATACCATTTACCCGGTCTTCTATTCGAAGAAATACGGTAAATTTCAACCAACCACACCACATCCGTGAAAAATTCGCAAATAGGGCTCAAGCCGAGGATTTATAGAACCATCTGGAAACGATTATTATTAAAAATTAAATAAAAGATTCATTTGAATTTTCATTTGAACATATAAAAACGGATTTGTTTAACGTTTAAACGATTTAAACGAAACGTTTAAGATCTCACCTGAAGCCTCTCCGGAAATTCGAAAGACTTTCCGCTTGTTCGGCTCATTTTCTAGTTGAACGATCGTCTCACCGATAAAATCTGGCTCCAGAACTAAAGATTACTGTAATAATATTACTGTAACCAGCAAAAAAGAAACCACTCTTAAGCACTTTCATTTTAGAAAGGCTTATTGTTAGAGCAAATCTATTGATACTGGTAGCTATGCTAGTATCAAATAACCTTTTGGGTCTAGTAGCGTACAAAACCAGACTTACAATGCACCAGTTAGTACCAGATATGTGCATTGATCTGCTATTATTAATAGCCCTGGAAAACTAGTCCATGTTATAGGCTCAAATACACCTCAAAAATCACCAACTTCCATCAAAATCATTCAGCTCAATGTACGCATCCCCGGTGACATAGCTGCTATTGCAAAAGATTCGCCCGGCCACCGTAATCTGTGAGTTCTTATGTAAATTTTTAGACTTTAAAATCTCACCTTATCACCGGCAACTTCTAGAAAAAGATTTACAAATAACAAAATGAAAGGGAACATTTTAAAGTTTTAAAAATGAAATGAGATCAAAATCTTTTTTTTTGAGATTTTCGGCTCACTGATGCAATCGGGTGGAGATATTTCGGGGAAGATAGGGATATATCTTTGTGTGGAAAAGCCGCAAAATTGATTTATTGCACACACAAAAAATCAGCGTCTCAAATGGGTAGTCGATATTTTAAAAGAGAAATTAGCATTGTAAATATTTGAAATATTTGTTCTCTTGGGAAATGTTGTATACTGTACAATACCGAGCAAAAGTCTTGCAACATCACTTTTTCAAAAAAATCGATGAAATTTTTTTATAGAAAATGCCACCCGTTCGTAGGGCTTTTTTTTGTTTTTACTTAGAATAATACATGTACACTTTATTTACAAAAACAAATTTGAAGTTCAGCGTAAAACCAAAAAGTAAATGACAAAACTACTAAAAAATACCCTAAAAACTGGGTGCAAAAGTCTTGCAACATTATACAGAAACATTAAAAATTAATATTTAATCAGTCCACCTTTTGCCAAAATCACTTCATTAAGTCGTTTAGGCATTGAGTCGACTAATTCGTGAAGAATTGCTGGGCGAATTGAGCTCCAAACTTTTCGTATGTAGAACCATAAGTCAACTTTTGTGTGAAAGTCTTTTCCTCGTAACTTTGCCTTCACGTAAGCCCATAAATTCTCACTAGCGTTTAAATCAGGCGACATAGGGGGCACCTTGACCAACAAAACATTATTAAGGGCAAACCATCCAGGGAGATGAGCCAGGGAGATGAGCTTTTCCTCCATTTGAGAGATTCACCGTGCGACCCATCATGAGCTTGCTCTTGTGGACCGGCGAATTGTCCTGGTAGAGAAACCATTCAGGAGCCATCTGATCCTGAGCAAATGGAAGTAGACATCCTTCTAGTATTTCCATATACTGGCGAGCATTCATGGTTGACTGGATGAGGACGAGCGGACCTGCCACATTTTTTGTCATCGTCCCTAGAAAAAGACAAATTAATGCATGTATTAGAAATAAGGCTTACCAAAACACATGATTGACCCTCAGCCAGCTCGCATTGTAGGTCGCACATATTTAAGGAGTATTCGCTTTCCAATGGGTCGTCTGGTCAAGTGGTTGCCTTTTGGAGAAAAGATATCCACTTTTGTTTCATTGACACGGCCCAATCCTGCTTTGTCCAACTTTGGTACGTCCTGGCGAGTAGAAGCCGTTGTTTCCTGTGGCCAGCGGTCATCAAAGGCTTTCGTACAGCCCTCCGGCTATACAGTCCTGCTTGAGTCAATCGTCGAGAAACGGTCCATCGAGAGATATCCTTGTTTGCAACATCCTTGATCAGCCGAGCTCCCTCAGTTGATGTCATGTTCGGATCCTTCTTGGAAGCCATCACAAGTATTCGATCCTCTTTTGCTGTTGTTCTTCTTGGCCGTCCTTTCTTCTTTCTTCGGTGCATAAGTCCAGTTGTTTTTGCTTTTGAAACAATGCGAGAAATGGTCGAAGGATCGCATTTGAAGAGATCGGAGACAACGGCTCGAGAAATTCCTTTTTTTTTCTTGCTTTCATGATTTTTTTCTCTTTCGGGAGTCGTCAAGTAGGTACCTGGCATCTGAAAAAAACAAAAATTAGTGTAAATTAATAAATTTGAAAACAATAAAAATGAGAAACATAGAATGTTGCAAGACTTTTGCACCCAGTTTTTAGGGTGTTTTTTAGTAGTTTTGTCATTTACTTTTTTGCTTTACGCTGAACTTCAAATTTGTTTTTGTAAATAAAGTGTGCATGTATTATTCTAATTAAAAACCAAAAAAGCCCTACGAACGGATGGCATTTTCTATAAAAAAATTTCATCGATTTTTTTGAAAAAGTGATGTTGCAAGACTTTTGCTCGGTACTGTATGTGTTTCCTTTGATATTCTTGATGTTGATGGTACAATTTGAGTAATTTGATGGTACAATTTGACGAAGTTGATTTAAAAATTTAGAAATAAAACAAAAAAAACAGACGAAATATTGGGCAATCATTTTCAAAACAAAAGTTCGACAACGAATTTGGAGGGTGGGACAAATGCGACCTTTTTTTTCGCTAGGAAAGGTCGTAGAGCTTCGAAAATATTTCCATATAGGGAATCGTATGCGTAGATTCCGAATTTCGACAAATCAGACCTCACTGACACGTCAAAAAGGGCTAAAAGGCAAAAACTACGCAATTTAACGCTTTTTCGCAGCTTTTGCCTTTTAGCCCAAATTTGACGTGTCAGCGAGGTCTGATTTGTCGAAATTCGGAATCTACGCATACGATTCCCTGATATGGAAACTTTTTTGATGCTCTACGGCCTTTCCTAAAGCTTTTTCCAACGAAAAAGGTGCGCCTTTTGGCCCGGGTGCGCAAAAAGAAAGTCGCATTTGTCCCACCCCCCGAATTTGACCGAAGAGAAACAATGTTGTGAAATGGCGGACAAATAGGGGTACGGTAGAAGGTCCGCACTTTGGAAAACACAAAAGTTTACAAATAAATAATTTGTGGGAAAATAATTTAAAAAAACTATTCTATTTATTTATTTCATATTTATTGTATTATTTATTTATTTTATCAATAGAAAAGCATTTACTCGGGAAACAAAAGCATCGTCATCGTGATCAGCAAAAAACCGACAAGTGTGGCGGCGAATTGGCCGATTTTCGAGAAACCCTTTTGACTTTCCGGGACGAGTAGCTGGAAATTTGTATATAAGTGCTGGTTACATTATACCTAAAGAACTACAGTATCCCTCATACAGTATCCCTCACTACAGTACACATAGAAAAAAAAAATATAGTATCCCTCACTACTGATACCTGGCAACAAAACTGAATATAATAGGTTGATGCATAAGTCTTTTCGTTTTTTTCGTACTTCTGTTAAAAAGTAACAAATTCACCAATTAATCTATAGTTTGCTCTATAAAAAAAGTGTTTTTTTGTTCAATTTGCATCTTTTTAAATGAATTTCGGTTTACTTTCAAGCAAATTCGAGAGTGAAAAACGCCTTTTTCGTAAAAATCTATAAAAAACTCTACGGAAAAATTGGCTGAATGAATTTCTCTGAAATTTTGGCGAAATATCAAACGTTTTTTTTCTCTATCTTTTATCTATTGACACGAAGATAGGTTTTCTTTAGCTAAGGTGTCTAAACCGCATCATCGAGTTAGCCCTTTTTGACTACCCGACTTCATACTCTCAAGAAAATCCAGGCATTAAATATTTTTAAACCCGTTTTAATGTTATTTTGCAGAAAAATAATTGGTTTTTCTAATGAAATCAACCGTAGTTTAATTGGTGCATTTGTTGGCTTGAAACGGCAGACGAAAAGGAACAAAAACACTTATGCATCAACCTAATATTTGAGCCAAAATATTCAGTTCTATCTAGTTTTCTAAAATACGTGCTAAAAAAAACGACCTTCCAACACAAAACACTCACTTCATAAAAAGTAATCTGCAAGAATGTGCCTAACGATAAACAATTCAAGAAGAACATGATCTTGTCCTTTGCCGGAATTTCAACACCCTAAAAATTGTTTGGTTAAAATTAAATTTGTATTTTTTTTTGTTTATTTTTTTTGTTTATTTGTTTTTTTGTTTATTTGTTTATATGTTTGTTGTTTAGCTTTTGTTGTTTGAATTTTTGTTGTTTGAATTTTTGTAACCTCAATAAGCAATCCCACAAAACCACCAAAAGGAGCCATTGCAGAAAGGAAAAAGACGAAAATAATGGGCAAAGCTGGGCTCAGATTTGAGGTAGACAAGCGAACACCTGAAAATTCATGACATCGAGAGCATCAAGACTTCATTTTTAAGATTTGAATATATTGAAAGGTGCTGTAATGATCGTATCTTTTGACTATAAGAAAAAGAAGAGCTGACTGGAAAAGAAGAGACTCAATATGATTTAAAGCTACTAGAAGCTAATTCTAATCATTCTAATCATTCAAATCATTCTAATCATTCAAGGAAAAGAAGAGACTCAATATGATTTAAATATGACTCAATATAAAGGTACTAGAAGCTAATTCAAATCATCCAAATCATTCAAATCATTCTAATCATTCTAATCATTCTAATCATTCTAATCATTCAAATCATTCTAATCATTCAAATCATTCAAATCATTCAAATGATTCTAATCATTCTAATCATTCAAATGATTCTAATCATTCAAATCATTCAAATCATTCAAATGATTCTAATCATTCTAATCATTCAAATCATTCAAATCATTCAAATGATTCTAATCATTCTAATCATTCTAATCATTCTAATCATTCAAATGATTCTAATCATTCTAATCATTCTAATCATTCTAATCATTCTAATCATTCTAATCATTCTAATCATTCAAATCATTCAAATCATTCAAATGATTCTAATCATTCTAATCATTCTAATCATTCTAATCATTCTAATCATTCTAATCATTCTAATCATTCTAATCATTCTAATCATTCTAATCATTCTAATCATTCAAATCATTCAAATCATTCAAATGATTCTAATCATTCTAATCATTCTAATCATTCAAATGATTCTAATCATTCTAATCATTCTAATCATTCTAATCATTCTAATCATTCAAACCAAATTTAAACCAAATTCAAACCTGTCGAGAAAAAAACAGCCGCTTTATGTATCATTATTCCAAAAAATAGCGCTATCGTCGATTTCATTTCCATTTGTATTCCGAAAGCAAAACCTTCCAAAGCACTGTGAATCGAGAGAGCGAATACCAATGATAAACACTTCGATAGGGCATTTAAATCCTTGCTTTTCGTCGTCTATAAATAAAATCTATGAAATCTATGAAAGATATTCTACAGGTCTAATTTCTACCATATTTATTCCAATAGCAGTCCCGAGCCTTTTAATTTTCATACCCTAACTACAGTAAACCCGTGAATCTTCAAGAGAGATTTCTTCTATTCGTTCTATTTGTTCTATTTGTTCTATTTTCTTCTATTCTTCTTTCCTCTTTCTTCTATTTCTTCTTTCTTCTATTTCTTCTTCTATTTCTTCTATTTCTTCTTTCTTCTATCTTCTTTCTTCTATCTTCTTTCTTCTATTTCTTCTATTCCTTCTATTCATTACTTCACTACAGTCTACTGGGCTTCAAAGTTGAATACTTTTAGCTATTTAGATTGTCTGGAATTAGATTGTCTGGAATTAAATTGTCTTTTGTATTCCGGTCTACTGTAGTAAAAACAAATAGTATTCAGCAATACCTGAAAGCTGATTTCCTCACTATTTTTCGACGTCTCTCTATCTGAGTCCAAATCCAAGCCAGAGGAAATTCGTGGGAGCACCCTGCAAAATGTTTTAATCTTTATTGAATTTACATGTCGATGAAGTTAGTGTTAAATAGAAACCACATTGGGTACTGTGAGTTCAAGTCCTTTGGCTCACTACAGTATCCTGGTTAATCTCGAACAACTTCAGCTAAAACTGAATTTACCGTAGTGAGTAGTCTTAGTATACCGTAGTGAGTAGATTGGGACTTACAGTACCCTTTGCAGTACCCTTGCAGTAACCCATAGTCATTTCCTATTCCACACAAAACTTTACTGAAAAAAAGCAGCAGCTTTTCTTACTCACTTTGTCAGCTTCTCCTCGCTTGGTTGGTGTGAATGGGCACAGCAATGGTCGGTGATTATTTCAATGAAATGAACTAAAGAGAATAGAGAGAATAGAGACAATTTTGAATTAGTATTTTGAATTAGAGATTTTTGAAGTTTGAATTAGAGAAGTTCAACTACCCAAAAAGAATCCCAATCCAGTGAGCATTCCCACCCAGGGGATACTTGAATTTGTCACGTTTTTCGATTCAATTTCTTCGAGCATCTCACTGAATTTCAAAAAATGAAAACATTTATTCACATGAATAATGTGGTATTGGGTTAATCGAAAAGTCCTTTCCGATTTTTTGGGAGAGTACCTTAAATTTGTCCAATTTTGACGTTTTATAGCTCATACTAAAATAGCTGTAAAAACTTTTAGAAAAGAGATATCTCAAAACGGTTTTTACCAATCGATCCGTCTTGAATTCAGCTTTAGGATGAGCTATAAAACGTCAAAATTCGACAAAAAGTTTACTGAGTCGAATTTTTATAGGATTCAGTAAATCTGATATTGATACAGACAATGTTTGAAGGATTTCAGTTAACAGAACAAATCCATACTGATAGAGGTGAGAAAATTCCAAGCCGAACCTATTTTCACCTTCGTTTTCTCAGCCGTCTCTTCACCGATTGCTCTGAAATTTCGTCTACAAGCAGAGAATATCAATTTCTATTTGTAAACAAAATTTCAGAACAATTGGCGAAGAAACGGCTGAGAAAAGGTGGAATTAGGTTCATCTTGGAATTTTAGAGTTGAGAAAAATTTGCAAAAAACCTTTTCTGAAACCAAGTTCTTCTAAATTTCCTATAAAAATTCGATTCAGTAAACTTTTTGTCGAATTTTGACGTTTTATAGCTCATCCTAAAGCTGAATTCAAGACGGATCGATTGGTAAAAACCGTTTTGAGATATCTCTTTTCTAAAAGTTTTTACAGCTATTTTAGTATGAGCTATAAAACGTCAAAATTGGACAAATTTAAGGTACTCTCCCAAAAAATCGGAAAGGACTTTTCCATCAACGCAATAGAAACAATACGCAAGCACAACTCCTAAGCCCTAAATGTAGAGAAGAAGAAAAACCCATATATATATATAACCAATAATCTATAACCAATATTCCAGACGACGGGATTGAATCCTTGACGACGGGATTGACCTCCCGGCTAAGATACGGGGCTCAGCCATGGTAGTCACGAATCTATAGACTTAGAAAAACATCTTGAAGCAACTTACAATGCTTCGGGCAATATATCAAGAATGCACACGGCCAAGAACACTCCACCGGCAAAACACGTAATCAATGATAGAGGATACGATTTGTCCGATGATAGAGCTTTGAGGCTTCGTAGCTGAAATTTTGTTCATTCTGGAACCGTTTTCTGAAAAGTATGCCTAAGGAAAGGTATAATAATTTGTGAGTGAGCATTCCCACCTTGAACTTGAATACTTGAATACTTGAATACTTGAATTTGTCGGATACTTGAATTTGTCACGTTTTTCGATTCAATTTCAATTTCCTAATTTGGTTTTTGGTGGAAATAAGTAAACTATACTTTATCTTAAGCCACTGATCCGTCTATTCATCCTACCAGGATCATGGTCTTCACCAAGGTAGGCTCACTAAATTACATTCGAAAAAAGCGGAGTACGGTCGCTTTGTTTTAAACCGTTTTGTACGGTCGCTTGCTCTCTTTTATAAAACCCAAGAGTTAGCAAGAAGTTGATGAATTCCCACTCACCCTAATCGGTAAAAATCCAAAAATGGTCGCAAAAACGCCCATCGCGACGAGGAGGCCAATTTTGAGATTCGTCACCTCTTCCATTTCAATTTAAAAAGTAAAGAAAATCGCAAATTATTGAGAAATCTGAAATCTTACTTTAATGCACTTGAATGATCAAAATTACGCACAAATTACACACAAATATTTTCGGTTGATAGCAAAAAGGAATGCTTCTTGATGTTTTTCTTAAGAAACACGGGTTGATAAACAAATAAAAAAGCTTCAAGAATTGAAAAGTCAATGGATTATTTGAAAATTAAGCCTAGAAATAACAAGACTTGTTTTCGACAAAGAATTGAGAAAAAGAGATTGCTGTTTAGGTGGTTTTAAATCAAGAATTGTCAATTTGCGTGAAACTTCTGTTTTTGCAGGTCAAGAAGATGCTTCTTAGGAAGTGCTGCTCTTTGGAAGTGCTGCTCTTTGGAAGTGCTGCTCATTGGAAAAGTGCTGCTCATTGGAAAAAGTGCTGCTCATTGGAAAAAGTGCTGCTCATTGGAAAAAGTGCTGCTCTTTGGAAGTGCTGCTCTTTGGAAGTGCTGCTCTTTGAAAGTGCTGCTCATTGGAAGTGCTGCTCTTTGAAAGTGCTGCTCATTGGAAAAAGTGCTGACTTGCTCGCATCACTTTCATAGGAATCTATATTAAAAGTCAACAAAAAGTAGAAAAAGAAACGAAAAGGAAAAGAAAAATGAATTCAGAAGGGATCTTTGAATGCTTTTTTTCCTTTTTTCCGTACTCCCAGTGATTATTTTTGTATTTTTGCCTGAATATCTCTAAAAATTGTGGCCTAAAAAGTAGCTTATTCTCTTCTCACATTACAATAGTAACAGTAAAATCACTTCAGACTTTAAGACTAAATGATTTGTACTTATGTTTTTAAAAAGCGCATGACTCTCATGCTCATTCTCATTCTCATGCTCATGCATGATCAAATTTAATTCTTTACTCGACGGACAGAAAGAGTAGAAGTCAAAAGTATTTGAAAACCATAAGAAATTCACTTGTATTCAGATAAAAAGATAAAAAGTTACTAATATTTTAGATTCGAATGAATTTCGCATCAAAAATATTTGAAATCGAATATAAGAAATCGTTCAATGATCCCCAAAGTTTGAGAATTAAAATGGAGAAGAGAAAAGAGAAAGAAAAAGAGAAAGAAAAAGAAAAAGGAACGATTTCCGAGCAAAGAAATAACTATGACTAGTTTTATGAATAGTTTATTGACTAAATATAATAAAGCATAACATTTCTACAAAAGATTATGTGTAGACGAGAAATGAACGAGAAAATTTCAATGTTTTTGTTTTTTTTTTGATTTCGATGTGTGATTCAGGTAGACAGTCTACAAGGTAGTAGACAAATCACCAAACAAATCACAGACATTTATTTGATTGATGAATTTCAAAGTCTAAAAATATTTAAGACCAAAAATGAAATACTTTTAGAATCAGGGATTTTGCAAGCCACCGTAAATTCTCTAATAGAAGCGCGCCCCTTTATAGGAGCGTCACGTAGTCTAAGTTTACACTCAAAGAACCGCTCATATCTCGGCGCCCAGACATTTTTTTGTTTTTGCGCACTTAGGTATCAAATTAAAGTAGAGAGAATCGGTAATTTTTTCATATATAATACATCTTTTTAGCATTAACCAGCGCTTGGAACAAAATGATTGAAAATTGGCTCTTTTTTGCCACTTTGATTGCGATTTTGATTGAGATTGCGTTTTCGGAGTTTTCCCGCGCCAAGTTTCCGGTAACGGAGCATACGGCTTCAGGTTTGACTTCTGGCAGAACCATAGACCGTGAGTCAGGCCAGGCGAAACCATAGCCAAGTTTAGGCTTGGCTTTTAGCCGACCTAGGGTTTGTGAGCCAGACTTGCAGTAAAGACAAGCAAGGTAAGATTCAAGCCAGGCTTCTGGCGGATATAAGGTCTTTCGTAGACCGAATTTGGCTTTTGGCCAGAACAGCCAAGACCAGTACCTGGCTTTTAGCCCGTCCTGGTGAGGAAAAATTAATTTGGGAACAACTCGAAGCTAGACCAGACAAGGCAAGGCAAGAGTTCGGCAGAAGCCAGGTCTAGCTTCTGCCAGATCTAAAGACTTTTTGTGAGCTAGGTCTGTAATAAAGGCGTTTCCAAAGTAATAAATACTCATTGTCAGCATCCTAGTTTGTTCTTTTCCTTTATTCTCTCAATTGAACTTCCTTCCGGTTAGTCACTAAGCCGATTAAGAAAACAACTCAAGCTAAAAATAAAGCAAAGAAAACTATATTTAGACTCTCATCTATACGAATGGGGAAATTTGAACATAAGGCTATTGAAAGTTCAAGTCTGTCTGTATTGCTAAAATCTGTACTGCTCTAAAATAGTACTTACAAAATCTAGAAGAAAAAAAAAGATGAAAAAACTTGTTTTTTTTTAAATGACTCGTCACAATGAAATCTCAAAAATCTCAAAATAAAATGCAGGAATCCCATTATGCACGTAAAATGCGAGTAAATAAATTTCGCGCAAATAGAAAAACGTAGAACGGTAAAAAATACGTGCATTTCACGTTCATTTGCTGCACCGGCTACTCGTTCACTTTCCTGCTCCTCGAAAAGGGAAACCTTTTGCCGGTGACAGGTAAAATTTTGACAATTTCAACATTTAGATCTCAAAAGAAGTAAGTAAGAATTTAAGAAGTAAGATTACTATCTTTTAAGCAAGTAAGCAAGAAGCAAGTAAGCAAGAAGCAAGTAAGCAAGAAGCAAGTAACCAAGAAAAGCAAGTAAGCAAGAAAAGCAAGTAAGCAAGAAAAGCAAGTAAGCAAGAAAAGCAAGTAAGCAAGAAAAGCAAGTAAGCAAGAAGCAAGTAAGCAAGAAGCAAGTAAGCAAGAAGCAAGAAGCAAGTAAGATTACTATCTTTTACAAGAAATTTTGTCTACAGTTACAAGGGAGTTACAGACGCGCGAAAATGACGATCGTTTTTCAAATATCATATTTCATTGTCCAGTACTGTATCTTGGTTACGATAAGCAAACCTACAGGCCAAAGAGACGGAGAAATTAAAGAAATTGCGGAATTCGGTGGAGAGTTGTGCACGAATTCGCGTTAAATCTTCCGACGTTAATTTCAAGTATTTCATCGTGCACATCGTGCATTTCACGTATGTTTTACCGTTCTACGTTTTTCTATTTGCGCGAAATTTTAAATTCGATTATTTACTCGCATTTTACGTGCATAATCTTTTGTGTGTTTTATCAAGAACAATATATGTATTTTATTTATTCAAAACCAATAAAAATATGTGAATTAGGTAAACAAGAGTTCTTTTATTCTCTGCCTTCAAATTGATCTTCAGAAAATAGATTAGCTAGAGTTGGAATTGCTTTTAAAAAGCTAAAAGTTTTAAAAAGTTGGGGGTGGAACAAATGCGACCTTTTTTTTGCTGGAAAAGGCCTTGGGAAAGGTCGTAGAGCTTCAAAAATGTTTTCATAGGAGGGAATCGTATGCGTAGATTCAGAATTTCGACAAATCAGACCTCGCTGACACGTCAAATTTGGGCTAAAAGGCAAAAACTGCGGAAAAGCGTTAAGTTGCGTAGTTTTTGCCTTTTAGCCCAAATTTGACGTGTCAGCGAGGTCTGATTTGTCAAAATTCTGAATCTACGCATACGATTCCCTCCTATGAAAAGATTTTTGAAGCTCTACGACCTTTCCCAAGGCCTTTTCCAGCAAAAAAAAGGTCGCATTTGTCCTACCCCCAAAAAGTTTGTTTATTGCTCAGGTTTATTTGTTTATTACTATTTTTTTTGTTTATTGATTGTTTTAAAGATAGTCAAAGTATTGATTAATAGAATATCTTTTAATCTAGACAATATTTTGACCTGATTTTGAGCGCTTAGGCTATGAAAAGTCTGGCTGTATCCTTGGCAACGACCTAGGGTGTCCTCGCGCATTTGGTATTGGCTCTTACATAGATTATTTAGCTACTAAAACTTCTTTAAATGTCTAGTAAACTATTCAAATTGGAATTAGTACTCGAAGATTTGTCTACAAATCTTCACGCTAACGACATTAGAGTCCAACTCGGATTAAAAGGCTTTCGCTCAACACAGATAATTGAAGTGAAAAGCAGAAAGGGTTATTATTTTATTTTTTTTTGAAGATTCTTAAGACAGGATAAGTATTTTAAATTAATTTCTTCATTTTTAGAGCTCCCTGTTGGCGGTGAATGTCTATTATTGTTGAGTGAAGAACAGCTGATCAAGCTTCTTTTTGAAGAAAATATCGAACTTTGTCTCACTACACCGACAAATGTTTATGCAGCGGCTTTTAAGTGGCCGGTAAGTTTTTTTTGGATATGAGGGTACTTTTTATCTTTAGAATTACTGTACTTGCTTGGGAGCACTGTAGAATTAAGGGTATTATACTAAAGTTACTTTTAAGCAAGACTAGAGCAACCTTTTGATATAAAAATCAATTTAAATCCAGGATTTGAACTCTTCCGCATTCCGTGGCTCTTGTCTTCTCTTTCAACAAAACGACAGTGAAAAGGTTTTGCTAAATCAATATAAAAGTATCTAATTCAAAATTTAGATCCTACCAATCACCGTCGTTTTGAGATTTTCTCCGATTGATCCTCTAAATGCCAAGGAGAAACCATCAGAAAAGATCAGTGCTGAAGTCGAAAAGTCGAAAAATGTTGGCACTCAAGTAAATCTTATATGAAGAAGTTAAATCTATCAAATTACAGAGCTCAATTGAGAATTGGGAAAAGGAAAACGATATAAAGCCAAAAGTACAAGACGCGTCGACTCAGAATTCGAATCGACAAACGAGTATTGGAATCGGTAAGTTGGGAAATTGGTCACTTTTAGAATTTACCTTGACGAATATTAACTCCTGAAGTCTCGAAACAAGTTCATACTTATGAAAATAAAGCTTAATTCATTTTTTAAGAGACCACAGAGCCTGTCATACTGTTGAATACAGCAAAAGAAGTGATCGAGAAAGCGGTCACCGAAAGACTTCGACATGAAACGTCGAAACTCGAGAATCCGCAAGTGGTCGAAAAAGTGGTAAGATAGGTGAACATAGGTAATCAAAGACGTTTTTAGCCACCAGAGTCGGTTAAATTGCCCAAAGCAAGGATGACTACGCCCAATGTTTACCCACGGATCTCTCTACTACGCAATTTGGATTCGATGATCGAACAGAGGAGAGCGGTGATCGCTCATTTGGAGGTAGGATTTGAATTGGAATTGAGTACTGGAAAGTTATCCAAAAGATAAAATTCGGTTTAGGCTCGAAAGTACTCGAAAAGTTCGATCGTACCGAATCCAAAGGACATGAGAGCTCAAAAAGAAAACTCTCAAACAATTCCTGCTTTCAAATCGAAATTGGAACTTACTAGGGAGAATTTCAAACGAATATTGGCGGAAAAGAAACAAATTCTGGCCCCTACTCAAAAGAAGAGTGCCAACAACCGCATATCCCCCAAAACTGGACCCATAATCGAACAGCCATTTCAAGAAGAAAAGACAAATGATGCGGATGAAAGTTCAAATGAGAGTACGGTTGATGATTCTCAAAGCTCTGACTCGGGTGGTAGCAGAAACAGCGGAAGTGAGCTCCCATCACATTCAAGTTCAACCTCAAATTCCTCAACAACATCGAAAGAGTCGATTATTAGTTTACAAAGTAAAAACTCGTTAGCTAAGAGAAACACCGGTGGTGAGGAAAGAAAAACGACTGATGTCGTACCTGCACCCAGTAAAAGGTATAAAATTCCAACGATTACCCATAAAAATAATAGCTTCAGATCTCCTGAGCCTGTACTATCTCCAACTTCTCGATATTTACGAGATTTGCGCGCAAAGGTGATTCACGATCGTCAAGAGAAGCAAACTGGTACGTGCCTAAATTTTCATTAAAATTTATCACAATTTAGAAAAATCAACAACATGATGCGAAAATGAGGATAACAAGAGATGAAAAGTAAAACCATAGATTCCTTGCTACAATAAAATCACAAAAAATGGGTTACTATCTAAAACAATGCTATCGCATAAATTTAAACCCCGCATAAATTTAAAGAAAACAATAACAAACAATGGAAATGTTTAGAAGACTACAACTTCTATAGTCAAGGGTGCTAAAAAATAACGCCAAAACTATCTACCAACTTCAATTTGAAGGATAAACGCGGTTTTCACAAATTCGTAAGAGATCCTTTCCAATGGTTTCATACAATTCGCCTCCGACCTGAACTTTTCAAAATGCAAAGAAGAATTCTTTTACAAAAGTACCTGAAACTTCTTATCCGCTTCACGCATTGTCAGCGCTATTCGACGACCTCTAATGTGGTGCTGTTGAACTCCGTGTTTCCACTCATAGCGAGCCTAAAAAAGCTTTTTTACAAAACTTAAGCAATACTTACTTCATCCGCCATACTGAAAAGAGACAAATGTGGCATCCAAACAAAGCATATAAATTCTTTTTCGGGATTAATCATCGTCATCACTGAACCAGAGAGTAAATTTATGCTAAATTATTACAAACGGTCATAGATATTCTTTGCAAAATTACCTAATTAAGCGATTTCCCCATATCCACATATCATCTTTATGAAATTCGATTGTGCTTTGTCTTATATCTTCATACTAAATAAAAATCCATTTCCCGTCATTGATTGCATTTCTTACCTCTAAATTGCACATTTCAAGTGGTAGATAATCTCTTAAACTCGAAGAAGCCACACTCATTTTATTGAGCAGAAAGTCCGCGTATTCTGGCATGCCTAAAATAAATGAAAAAGAAAACTTTAAAGCATCGTGGCTTGACTGAAAAAAACTGACCTGCAAATCCTTGGAGCTTGACTTTCTTGTGCTTAAAATTCACCTTCGGGCCGTAGTCCTAAAAGAAAGTAGATAAAGACTAGCTTCACCAAATTTAAAGTAAAACCAACCTGTTTACGCCGTCCACTTTGCGAAAGCGCCCAATCCACTTTGTCAATTGTTTTCATTAATCTCGTTTCTTCATCCTAAAAAAAAGCATTATGTATTAAAGAGCTAAAATGTACAGAAAAACAAAATAACCAATACCTCTGTTATAAAATTTTCTATAAGGAGTAGTCCTTCAATTGCTAAGCTCGTTGAAACATCGGAAGGAGTCGATGTGGCTGCTTCCTAAAGTCAAAACACAAAATGAGAATTATCATTAGCAAATAAACCTGAATGTCTTCAAGCGAAGAGTTTAGTTTCAAGTGTGCACACGAATAGGAGTTCTTCATTTTTAGATTGTAGACAAACACCTTATAATTCGCATACCTAAATTAAAACATTTAGTCATTAAGTCAATAAAACAAACTGTAATAAAATGATGAATTACCCGATTTCTTCAGAATCTCTGAATTGAAGTCGCAAAACCCGATCGGAATCCTTGCAAGCGGCACAAAAGCGGACTCCTTTGCAGCCACACGTCGATTTTTCATTAGAAATCAGCTCCATCAAACTAAAAATAGAAAAATTGCGGAAAACAAAAAATAAAAAAAATTGAATAAACTCGATTTCATTGAAATTTTTATGGTTTTTTAGCCAATTTCAAGATATTCAGTCTAATAAATAAAAATTGCATAACTTTTCAAGGGATAACAAGCCGCTCTGCTTCGAGTTCCTTTGCTCTTTCTACCGTAGCCTTCGGACTTTTACGAAAATCTCTTTTGAAACACGAAATAAAATTGAAGTTTGAAGTCAAAATAGAGAAATTTATACGATTTCACCTTTTTTGTGTTGTCTACTTTCAAATTTTTGTCAACTTTCAAAAGTAACCGCGAATACGGAACCCATAAATAATCGGGAACCTCACACAGACTATAACTTTCAGAGAATAGGCTACAGTTTTCTTTTTTAGAGTTTTACATAGTTAAAATTAAATTTTTTCACTTTAGATGGATTACAAACTGAGTTTTTTGGATCGAGGAGAGAAATGGAACGATGCCTCGCATGGTTGGTGATGCTTTCTATATTAAAAACGTTCATTCTTTAGTTACGGATGTGGTGCAACAAATCTGTAAATTCCCAAATCTTCAAGTACTGGAACTTCGTGGAAATACCTTGGGAGTTGAAGCCGGAGAGGCTATCGCCGAAGCGTTAAAGGTTTCTTTATTTTCTTGAGTATTTAAAATCAATAATTTAGCGACATCCCGAGTTGAAATATTGTTTATGGGGAGATCTTTTCACAACCCGGTTACGCGATGAAATTCCAAGAACCGTCAAATCTTTGTGTGCTGCCATGATCTACGCAAATGCTTCAATCACGGAGCTCGATTTGTCGGATAATGCATTTGGACCGATTGGAGCGGAAAGCATCAAGGTGCATTTGGCCTCTTTTACGCTTCTAGGATCGTGTTTAGGACTTTTTGGAATCCCGTTCTGCTTACTCTCTGAAGGTACTCAAACTGAATAATTGTGGATTGGGATCTGGTGGACAAACGGTTGCCGCTTCTCTCATTAAATGTCACCAACTAGCTGCCAAATCCGGAAGAAAGTTTGAGTTGAAAGTAGGTGTCGAGATATTGTTTAATTGTACAATTTTGTTTTAGACATTTTCTGCTTGTCGAAATCGTCTCGAAAATCCAGGGGCCAAAGCACTTGCAGAAGCTTTCAATGTAAGATATTTTGTTTTCTTATGACTTTTTTGTATTTTAGGTTATTGGAACGCTGGAAAGAATTATTCTTTATCAAAACGGAATCAATGCTCCAGGAATAATTGCGCTTGCCGAATCTTTCAGGGTTGGCATCTTTTGTCAAATTAAACAAATTTGTTTAGAGGAATCCTGAGTTGCGTGAAATCGACCTATCAGACAATACGGCAACTGAAAAGGGTTCTTATGCAATTGCCAAATCTCTTGCGTCACTTCGAAAACTCCAATCATTGATTCTAGCCGATTGTTTATGCAGAGATGCTGGTTGTCATGCTATCGTGGAAGCGTTGAATCCGGAAATTCACACTGACTTGAATGTAAAATAATTCAATTAATACAATACTTGGTTTCTTTTAGGTTGTCAATTTAAGCGGGGCTGAGCTAACACCAGAAGCGGCGGTTTCAATTGCACCGAAGATGGAGAAATTCGACGATGTCTCACTTAAAATAGGATGCAATAATTTTGGTCATCAATTTGAAAAACTACGTGGTGAGATGCCTTCGTTCGTGGACTGTGGTGAATCAGAGTGAGCTTGTGAATTCTAATCCGGGTCTATTGGACTTTAGAGATGATTGTGGAACTCTTGATAGCGACGAAGAATATCGAAGTGAACCTGATGAAGATGAGACAAACGATTCGTTAATGGCTGGGACTTCGAATACGCCAGCAACAGCAATTGTGGTGACTTTAGTTGGCTGAATATGCCTGTACCATCATTTCATTTCAGCAAGGATTGGATGACGTTTTCAAACAAATGGATGTGCGAGATGTCAAGCCATCAAACGAACCGATTTCGGTAAATTTATTATACAGTAGGGGTCATAACTTTGGACACACCTCGCGCGTTAAACTAGAATTTGTTCGTTCTTTTTGCTAATAAGAGCTTTTTCTACCGAAATCGACTATTTTATACAGTTATTAGCCCTTTTCATTATTTCTGCATGAATTTGGCTTTTATTTTCATTCTCATTTATTTTTGAGCTACTTTACCCGAGACATCCACTTTCTATGGGGTCATAACTTTGGACACGCTTTAGAAAACGGACAGTTTATTCAAAATTATCAAAGAATAACTAAGATTTCGTTGCAGAACCTTTAGCGGTAATGACTGCTGCACAACGCTGTGGCATCGAATTGATCAATTTGTCGATAGTGGCCTGAGGAGTCTTGGCCCATTCATCTTTAAGCGCGGCGACGAGTTCGGTGGTTTTTGTGAATGTTCGTGACCGAATGCGTCGATCCAATTCCGCCCAAAGATGCTCAATAGGGTTGAGATCTGGACTTTGGGCCGACCATTCCAAGACTTCAACGTTTGATTGTTGAAACCATTGAGAAACAAGTCGAGCCTTATGCTTCCGGTCATTGTATTGCATAAACAACCAATCGAGGTCCAAATTTTGTAGGGCAAACGGAAGCATTTCTTGATCCAAAATGTCTCGATAGCTTGCAGCATTTATTATTCCCTTGATTTCGACAAGTGGACCAACATCGCTAAGCGAAAAGCAACCTAAACTTATTTATTTTTTTAAGTCAAGTGAATCTTATACCCCATGTCATTACGGAACCGCCACCGTGCTTAATCATGGGCACTTGATACTTTGAATCGTTTCTCTTATTTGCTGAACGTCGGATATAACGAACTCCATCGCTTGAAAACAAGTTAAACTTGGATTCATCACTCCATAAAACGCGACCCCAATCCGCCACCGACCAGTTCTGATGTTTCCTCGCAAATTCGAGACGAGCTTTAAAATTCTTCTTTGAAATCAGCGGTTTTCGTGAAGGGCGTGCTCCTTTAAGTCCCTTAGATCTAAAATTTTTATATAAATGCATTATTACATCAAAATAAACCTCAGAATTCGTTGAGCTGTAGTCTTAGAGATGGTGGACCCGTGGTATTGATGAGCCTCTCGACGAAGATAGCTTGACGCCTTTCTTGGATCTTTCTTCACTGATCGAACCAAAGCAGTGGCAGTTCTTAGGGGAACTTTTGGTCGTGGTCCTCCACCAATTTTCCGTTCCATCGATCCTGTTTCTTTCCATTTGCGGTAGACCTTAGCAGCCGCCGAAAACGTGATTCTAAACATCTCTGCAGCATCCCTAGACGACATTCCTTGACTCATATTGGCTACCAAAGGTTCCTTCAAGTCGTTAGACAAGATTTTCTTTGATGGCATCTAAAGAAAACCATGTATTCAACAAGTGTGTCCAAAGTTATGACCCCCTAGAAAGTGAGTGTCTCGGGTAAAGTAGCTCAAAAATAAATGAAAATGAAAATAAAAGCCAAATTCATGCAGAAATAATGAAAAGGGCTAAAAACTGTATAAAATAGTCGATTTCGGTAGAAAAAGCTCTTATTGGCAAAAAGAACGAACAAATTCTAGTTTAACGCGCGAGGTGTGTCCAAAGTTATGACCCCTACTGTATATTGCGAGATAACCTTTTTTCAATTAGGCTAATACAACGCTCAGCTTTCTGGGGGGAGGAGCAAAATGGAATAATACGTCGGATGGTAAGCGATGATTTTGTGTGCTTAAAATTTGCTTTTAGTCTCAAACGTGGTGCAACAAATCTTACAAGTTCGAAATCTCCAAACACTGGAACTTCGTGGAAATACCTTGGGAGTTGAAGCCGGAGAGGCCATCGCCGAAGCGTTAAAGGTTTCTTTATCTTCTTGAGTATTTAAAATCAATAATTTAGCGACATCCCGAGTTGAAATATTGTTTATGGGGAGATCTTTTCACAACCCGTTTACGCGATGAAATTCCAAGAACCGTCAAATCTTTGTGTGCTGCCATGATCTACGCAAATGCTTCAATCACGGAGCTCGATTTGTCGGATAATGCATTTGGACCGATTGGAGCGGAAAGCATCAAGGTGCATTTGGCCTCTTTTACGCTTCTAGGATCGTGTTTAGGACTTTTTGGAATCCCGTTCTGCCTGCTCTCTGAAGGTACTCAAACTGAATAATTGTGGATTGGGATCTGGTGGGCAAACGGTTGCGGCTTCTCTCATTAAATGTCACCAACTAGCTACCAAATCCGGAAGAAAGTTTGAGTTGAAAGTAGGTGTCGAGATATTGTTTAATTGTACAATTTTGTTTTAGACATTTTCTGCTTGTCGAAATCGTCTCGAAAATCCAGGGGCCAAAGCACTTGCAGAAGCTTTCAAGGTGAAAAATTCGTAGTGTTTTTCTAGACTCACTTTGTATTTCAGGTTATTGGAACACTCGAAGAGGTCATTCTTTATCAAAATGGAATCAACCCTCCGGGAATAATTATGCTTGCTGAATCTTTTCAAGTATATTCATCTTGTGCATAAGCGAACCTAAAATCTTTTAGATGAATCCAGAGTTGCGTGAGATTGACCTATCAGACAATACGGCAACTGAAAAGGGTTCTTATGCTATTTCCAAAGCTCTTCCATCACTCAGAAACCTTCAATCATTGATTCTAGCCGACTGTTTATGCAGAGATGCTGGTTGTCATGCTATCGTGGATGCATTGAATCCGGAAATTCACATCAATTTGAATGTATGTTAAATAGATTGACTTTACAGTACCTTTTTTGATTTCAGGTTGTCAATTTAAGTGGTGCCGAGTTAACACCAGAAGCGGCGGTCTTAATTGTGCCGAAAATGGAGAAATTCGACGATGTTTCACTTAAGATTGGATGCAATAATTTTGGCCATAAATTTAACGCTTTACGTGATTGGATGCCTCCATTTGTTGACTGTGGCGACGCAGAGTAAGCAGATTTTTTTAGCCTGTGTTAAATAATTTTTAGAGACGATTGTGGTACTCTTGACGACGACGAAGAACTGCAAAGTGATTTTGACGATGAGGAGGGCGATGAAGAAGAAACCGAATCATCGATGAGTGAAAATGAGAATGTATTTTAAAGTTCACTAAACGATTATCTATTTCTTGTATTACAGAAAACGTTTGACGAAAGTTTCAAACAGCTGACCGTTGATGAAAAAGTAAGTTTATTAGATAGAGTCTAGATTTTTTGAAAATTTCAGGCTGGCACATCCCTCAGTTTTCTTGGTGGTGGAGCGAAATGGGACAAGGCATCTGATGGTTTGAGCTGGTACATTGACGTATTACAACTTGTTTTAGTCTCAAACGTGGTGCAACAAATCTGTAAATTCCCAAATCTTCAAGTACTGGAACTTCGTGGAAATACCTTGGGAGTTGAAGCCGGAGAGGCTATCGCCGAAGCGTTAAAGGTTTCTTTATTTTCTTGAGTATTTAAAATCAATAATTTAGCGACATCCCGAGTTGAAATATTGTTTATGGGGAGATCTTTTCACAACCCGGTTACGCGATGAAATTCCAAGAACCGTCAAATCTTTGTGTGCTGCCATGATCTACGCAAATGCTTCAATCACGGAGCTCGATTTGTCGGATAATGCATTTGGACCGATTGGAGCGGAAAGCATCAAGGTGAATTTGGCCTCTTTTACGCTTCTAGGATCGTGTTTAGGACTTTTTGGAATCCCGTTCTGCTTACTCTCTGAAGGTACTCAAACTGAATAATTGTGGATTGGGATCTGGTGGACAAACGGTTGCCGCTTCTCTCATTAAATGTCACCAACTAGCTGCCAAATCCGGAAGAAAGTTTGAGTTGGAAGTAAGTGTCGAGATATTGTTTAATTGTACAATTTTGTTTTAGACATTTTCTGCTTGTCGAAATCGTCTCGAAAATCCAGGGGCCAAAGCACTTGCAGAAGCTTTCAAGGTGGTAGCTTATTTATTTTATTTTATTGAGGAAGTTTAGGTCATTACAACACTTGAAGAAATTGTTCTTTATCAAAATGGAATAAACGCCCCGGGGATCATCGCGCTAGCAGGATCTTTTCAGGTTACTTATAATTGGGTCACTGACCAACGTTAAAATCTTCTAGATGAACCCTGAGTTGCGTGAAATCGACCTATCAGACAATACGGCAACTGAAAAGGGTTCTTATGCAATTGCCAAATCTCTTCCGTCACTTCGAAAACTCCAATCATTGATTCTAGCCGATTGTTTATGCAGAGATGCTGGTTGTCATGCTATCGTGGATGCGTTGAATCCAGAAATTCACACTGACTTGAATGTAAAATAATTCAATTAATACAATACTTGGTTTCTTTTAGGTTGTCAATTTAAGCGGGGCTGAGCTAACACCAGAAGCGGCGGTTTCAATTGCACCGAAGATGGAGAAATTCGACGATGTCTCACTTAAGATAGGATGCAATAATTTTGGTCATCAATTTGAAAAACTACGTGGTGAGATGCCTTCGTTCGTGGACTGTGGTGAATCAGAGTGAGCTTGTGAATTCTAATCCGGGTCTATTGGACTTTAGAGATGATTGTGGAACTCTTGATAGCGACGAAGAATACCGAAGTGAACCTGATGAAGATGAGACAAACGATTCGTTAATGGCTGGGACTTCGAATACACCAGCAACAGCCATTGTGGTGACTTTAGTTAGCGGAATATGCCTGTACCATCATTTCATTTCAGCAAGGATTGGATGACGTTTTCAAACAAATGAATGTGCGAGATGTCAAGCCATCAAACGAACCGACTTCGGTAACTTATTATATATTGCGAGATAGCCTTTTTTTTCAATTAGGCTAATACAACGCTCAGTTTTCTGGGGGGAGGAGCAAAATGGAATAATGCGTCGGATGGTAAGCGATGATTATGTGTGCTTAAAATTTGATTTTAGTTCTAAGCGTGGTGCAACAAATTACTCAATTTCCGAATCTTCAAGTACTGGAACTTCGTGGAAATACCTTGGGAGTTGAAGCCGGAGAAGCTATCGCCGAAGCGTTAAAGGTTTCTTTATTTTCTTGAGTATTTAAAATCAATAATTTAGCGACATCCCGAGTTGAAATATTGTTTATGGGGAGATCTTTTCACAACCCGGTTACGCGATGAAATTCCAAGAACCGTCAAATCTTTGTGTGCTGCCATGATCTACGCAAATGCTTCAATCACGGAGCTCGATTTGTCGGATAATGCATTCGGACCGATTGGAGCGGAAAGCATCAAGGTGAATTTGGCCTCTTTTACGCTTCTAGGATCGTGTTTAGGACTTTTTGGAATCCCGTTCTGCTTACTCTCTGAAGGTACTCAAACTGAATAATTGTGGATTGGGATCTGGTGGACAAACGGTTGCCGCTTCTCTCATTAAATGTCACCAACTAGCTGCCAAATCAGGAAGAAAGTTTGAGTTGGAAGTAAGTGTCGAGATATTGTTTAATTGTACAATTTTGTTTTAGACATTTTCTGCTTGTCGAAATCGTCTCGAAAATCCAGGGGCCAAAGCACTTGCAGAAGCTTTCAATGTAAGATATTTTGTTTTCTTATGACTTTTTTTTGTATTTTAGATTATCGGATCGCTTGAAAGAATTATTCTTTATCAAAACGGAATCAATGCCCCAGGAATAATTGCGCTCGCCGAATCTTTCAGGGTTGGCATCTTTTGTCAAATTAAACAAATTTGTTTAGAGCAATCCTGAGTTACGTGAAATCGACCTATCAGACAATACGGCAACTGAAAAGGGTTCTTATGCAATTGCCAAATCTCTTCCGTCACTTCGAAAACTCCAATCATTGATTCTAGCCGATTGTTTATGCAGAGATGCTGGTTGTCATGCTATCGTGGAAGCATTGAATCCGGAAATTCACATCAATTTGAACGTATGTTAAATAGGTTAACTTTACAGTACCTTTTTTGATTTCAGGTTGTCAATTTAAGTGGTGCCGAGTTAACACCAGAAGCGGCGGTCTTAATTGTGCCGGAAATGGAGAAATTCGACGATGTTTCACTTAAGATTGGATGCAATAATTTTGGCCATAAATTTAACGCTTTGCGTGATTGGATGCCTCCATTTGTTGACTGTGGCGAATCAGAGTAAGTGATTTTTTTTCTTACATTTATTTAAAATAAATTTAGGGATGATTGTGGAACTCTTGATGACGATGAAGAACGAAAAAGTGACTCCGATGAGGAAGAATAAGAGCATCGGCCAAAGCACGCGATTTATCAATGTGAATAAAGAAAGATTTAACCCGAATTAATGGTCATCAAAGTAGCGATTTCATAAAATGAAGTGACAAATTACATAAGACTGAAGTATCAAATTTCATTGTTAACAGATAAACCTATAAGTCAGTGCTTAGTGATTTCTTCATTGAACTTGATCGCTCCGCCGTATCACTTTCATCATTCGATCGGGTAAGCGTCGAATGAGCACTGTACATTTCTTCCCGGAGCGTTAAAGACTGGAATTGATTTGTTACAGAGTTAGGAAAATTCAACTTTTGAACTATGAACAGATGAGTTACTCACCTGTTCATCGGGAATCGGCGTGTTGCTGCGCCCCGAATCGGCGCGTGTCACTTCCAAATTGAGCTCGTTTTCCTCCGTGTTCCCAAAGTATGCGTTTTGTCTGAAAAACAAGGCCTTAGGCACCCTGAGTCGATCAAATGCAAACCGGAAAACTTTGACATCATCTTTTTCCTCATCTTCATCGTCAACGATATTCTGGCCAAGCGTCACATCGGCCGGGGTCACTTTTGTGGGCGAGTTGGCGGAGTTATGTTGAAAATTCTGAGTAGCCGACGAGAGAGGCCCTGTTTGATTCATGGTCAGCGCTCCAAATGGTATCAAGAGAGGATTCTGAAAGTGATTGTTCAGATTACTGTAAATATTTTTTTTTTAAACAAACATCTTGTGGGCTAACAATCGAGACATCTGAAGTCAAGGCTTCACCTGGAAAAAGTGGTTTTTGAAAGGGTTCAAATGTCAACTAGGTCAAGAAATGATTGAATTTAGTGTCAAAGTAATTATTTTAAGGTTAAGGTAGTTAAGTTCAAGAGTTTAAACTAACCAGCTCCATTAAAAGAGTCCATGGCTGAAGTGCTGGGTGTGTGCTGGGATTGATGAGAGTACGAGTGAAACATCGGATTTGGCACCAGTGAGTGACGACCCTGGAAAAGGGGAATTTGGGGTTTTAAAAAGTGGATTGGATTGGATTGGATTGGGTAAAAACTAGAGACAAGATTACGGTAGTCGAGGAAGTTGATGCGTTTTAGAAAAAGATTTTGGCAACTCACCGAATGTGGCATTCCAAAACCGAAATGATTTGGGAAATATTGCTGTTGACTGTTCTCTTGTTGCTGAAATTTCTTTTTTAGAAATAAAGAAAGAAAAAAAGAAACTCACCGCTAGATAATGTCTCTTGTACTTGCCGAGCTTTTCGATCGTTTTCTGCTGGAACTCGAGCTTTTCTTCGAGAAGCTGAAATCGGAATGCGTAAAGCTGCTCTCAATTTCTGTTTTACCTGTTGCATTCGTTCTTGTTTCTTCAGCTGATCCTTGTAATTTTCGCAATCTTTATTCTTTTTATATAACGCTTCTTTCAATCGTTTATTCTCGCTCATCGCCATTTTGAGGGAATGATCGAGGGTCTAAAGTACGATTTAGTCGGCTGTTTTCAATGTAAATAAATAATATGCTAAGGTACGGCAATTTATAAGAAATGAAACAACAAGTACACTAGTACTATAAAGTAGACTTCGGAAACAAAACTTAACCAAAACAACACCAAAACCAAAACCATAACAAAACCAAAACCAAAACAAACCAAAACCAAAACCAAAACCAAAACTAACCAAAACTCGCCAATATCTCGCGACTGGGAGGAGCTAGCGAAAATCTGTTTGCAGATTTGAAATCAGCATCCAAAAATCTATCCCATAGGCTATTTTTTGTTTCGAAATTTCGAGGTCGTGTTTTGGTCCTTTTTTTGGCCGCGAGATTTTGCATATTACAATTTTAAATTTGCATTTTACATTAAAATTTGCATTTTGCAATTTTAAATTTACATGTTAATTTATATGCAAATTGTTTTGGGTTTTGTGTTTTGTTTTTTTGTTTTTGGTTTTGGTTTTGTTTTTGTTTGTTGGCTACTATAAAGTACACTAGCGAGGTGATTTTGAATTCAAATCGAACTCACAAGAGAAACCTTTTTGTCTGCACGATGATAGACGTATGGACGTAATAGTCGTCTCTTGTTTATTTTAATCTACTAGCTCAATTGTGTCCCTTTTCTTTTGACACAAAAAGATATTCTGTAAATTTCTAGGGTTTTCAGAGCCAGTGAATCGATTGAAGCTACAGTACTGGACAATGAAATATGATATTTGAAAAAGATCGTCACTTTCGCGCGTCTGTAACTCCCTTGTCTTTGAGTTTAAACAATTAGTGTCATACATTTTCTGAAAGCTCTTTTCAAGGGCTACACAATGGTAATATTAATATTTAGAAAAACGGCAAAGACAAGGGAGTTACAGACGCGCGAAAGTGACGATCTTTTTTCAAATATCATATTTCGTTGTCCAGTAGTGTAGCTTACATTTTAGACTATAGTACTTTCTATTTCTATATCTATTTCTATATCTATATCTATTTCTATTTCTATATCTATTTCTATTTCTATACCTATATCTATTTCTATTTCTATATCTATATCTATTTCTATTTCTATTTCTATTTTCTATTTTCTATTTCTATTTTCTATTAGACTATAGTACTATTAGGTTTTTAGTTTCTGAACAACTTACGATAATCTTCTCCTTTTTTGTGTACTCTTCATCGGAATCATCATCGAGTGCCGTAGCATAGGGCGCTCTCATTCGACTGCTCTCACCCACCGGTGACGGATCTTGACTCCCGTACTCGGATGTCTCGTAGTTTGAGCGTGCTCTACTAAATTGAAAATAATTATAAGGATATTTAAAAGGATTAGATAGTAGTTTTGAGATTAGATAGTAGTCTGCAACAAAAATTTACCCATATTTGTGATAGGAGAGATCTTTTGGCGGGCGTCGCGATCGACGATCCGAATCGTAGAAATTCGACTCGAACGAGCGATTCAGAGCGTTGTTGTAATCGTCCTGGAAACTTTTTCATGTACTTTGCACGCAAAAAAGGGAAACACGCTTTCTAGCGCACTGAATTCTTCGTTTTTCTCGCAACAAAGAGAACAACAAAGGTGGGTTTTTGTGCGCCAGAAGAGCTGTGTTACAGATCGATAATCGCTAAGGAATGTAGGAGTTAAAGTTATTTTATGTACGAGTTAAAGCTATATCAGCTTCTTTTCAAATAAACCTGATATTTCGATCCACCGGGTAAACTCCTCGGGCCTCGATAATTTTTTGGTTGCGTTGGGACATGGTAGGCGGCTGTAGCCGACATTAAATCGTTCTCGTATTGAACGCTGAAGATCAATATTGGTATAGATATTGCTATAGATCTAGATCTATTAGATATATATATATATATTACTATAGATCTAGATCTATTAGATATAGATATTAATATAGATTTAGATTTATTAGATATATATATTAATATAGATTTAGCTATATTAGATATATATGTATTACTATAGATTTAGATCTATTAGATATATATATGTTGTGTCCGATTTAGATTTCCGTCCGATTTAGATTCAATCTAAATCGGACGCCCGATTAAGATTGAACTTATCGCGGACGTCCGATTTAGATTACAGTCTATATCGGACGTCCGATACAGATCGAACAATAATAAACGTGCTTAACATATGTTCTTTGAAAATTTCTTTGAAAAGCGCAGAAAATTGCAAAAAAACGCTTAAGAACATATATTAAGCACGTTTATTATTGTTCGATCTGTATCGGACGTCCGATATAGACTGTAATCTAAATCGGACGTCCGATTTAGATTCAATCTAAATCGGACGGAAATCTAAATCGGACACAACATATATATATTAATATAGATTTAGATCTATTAGATATATATATTAATATAGATTTAGTTCTACTAGATATAGATATTACTATAGATTTAGATCTATTAGATATAGATCTTATTATAGATTTAGATCTATTAGATATATATAGATCTAGATCTATTAGATATATATTAATATAGATTTAGATCTATTAGATATAGATATTATTATGGATTTGAGCTCATTTTCGGTTCTAAACGAGAATTAGACGAATCAAGGAAGGATAAGACCAAAGCTGACAGTTGTGATGTGACCCATCTAGATATCTTTACATTGATTGCTCACTAATCAAAAAAAAATCTCTCTACTTTTGTGTTCTAGATCTTTTACCATTTCTAGCTTTGCTTTTTCACCCATTCACATTCCACTCACTGTTTATCCTTTCTGTTCCGCTGGCTGATGCTGCTGCGCATCGATTTACGCTCGTATGCATCTCGAGGCTGAAAAAAAAAAAATTGAGATTTAACGGTGATCGATCGTACTTTCTTTAGGATATTGGTATGAAATTGATGTATACCAATATCCTCAAAACACTTGATTTATCACTCAATTGTCTTTAAAAAAAACCAATCCCAACCTCCATCTGATTCTCATTTTCTTTGTCTTCTTTGCGGTGATTTTTTGGGCGAAATATTCTTCCAAAAAAGGCCATATCACTGAAAAAAAAAATGGGATTGAAAGGAATTGAAAAAAATAGAATTGAAAAGTTTTAAAGATTCGAAAATAATATTGAGATAAGATTAAGATAAGATTTGAAGATTTGAAGATTTGAAATGAAATTTCTGAATAAGAAACTAGATTTCTGTCGTTTTTGAGGGTAAATGTTTAAGATTCATCAAAATTCATTAAGAAAATTTGAATTGAATTGAATTGAAAATTTAGAAACGATTATTAGATCAAAAGATAGAGAGAATGAAAGAAAAAAAAAGACTATAGTAAGGTAATCCCTAAATACAACTCGATACAACTCGATACAACTCGATACAACTCGATAAAATCGCTTTCAAAGTTCATTTCAAAGCACAGATGGGTTTGCAGATGTGAAAGAAGGAAAACGGGGAAAACAGCAATCAAATACTGGGCTTTGAAAATCACATTCAAGTTTTTCATAAAATCATTTACTTTATGCTTTGAAAGATTTGAAATCAGACCCTTGCACTGAGTTTTTTGCTTTTCATGAAAACTATAAAGTTCTCTCGAAAAAATGGAGATTTCAATGCGTCTAGGAAGGGTTTTTTTTACACATTTGAGAACAAAATATAGAAAAAAATATAGAATAAAATATAGAACAAAGTATAGAGCAAAGTATAGAACAAAGTATAAAAGAAAATATAGAAGAAAATACAGAAGAAAATACAGAAGAAAATATAGAACAAAGTATAGAAGAAAGTATAGAACAAAGTATAGAACAAAAGATAGAACAAAAGATAGAAGAAAGTATAGAAGAAAGTATAGAAGAAAATATAGAAGAAAATACAGAAGAAAGTATAGAACAAAGTATAGAAGAAAGTATAGAACAAAGTATAGAACAAAGTATAGAACAAAGTATAGAACAAAGTATAGAACAAAGTATAGAACAAAGTATAGAAGAAAGTATAGAAGAAAGTATAGAACAAAGTATAGAAGAAAGTATAGAACAAAGTATAGAACAAAGTATAGAACAAAGTATAGAACAAAAGATAGAACAAAAGATAGAAGAAAATATAGAAGAAAATATAGAAGAAAATACAGAAGAAAGTATAGAACAAAGTATAGAACAAAGTATAGAACAAAAGATAGAAGAAAATATAGAAGAAAATATAGAAGAAAATACAGAAGAAAGTATAGAACAAAGTATAGAAGAAAGTATAGAACAAAGTATAGAACAAAGTATAGAACAAAGTATAGAACAAAGTATAGAACAAAGTATAGAACAAAGTATAGAACAAAAGATAGAACAAAAGATAGAAGAAAATATAGAAGAAAATATAGAAGAAAATACAGAAGAAAGTATAGAACAAAGTAAAGTATAGAACAAAGTATAGAACAAAAGATAAAACAAAATATAGAACAAAATACCGAAAGAAAATGGTTAAAGTGAGAAAAAAATGAAGATTTAAGAATAAATCTTATTGTTAGTCATTGATTTGAATCGAGTTTTTAAGGGTATGGGGCAAGCAAAACAAAAAAACGATCGATCGATTGGTCGCCATTCAAATTTTCCCCTTTTCTTGAACAAAGTGAATGGGTTAAAAGGAAAGGAAAGAAAATGAAAAATGAAAAATGTTTTTCAGCAAAATGAATCTTTAAATGTTGAAAGATCAAAGAGAGATCTTTAGCAATTATTTTCATTGTTAATTGTTTGATAGGAAATTGTGATTCAAATCTGGACGATTATCCATTTCTCGGCAACGCCACTGGCTATTGTGGTGGTGAGTAGAAAGGGAAATTTCCCAGTCAATCTTTAGCCATTAAAAATCAATCAATGAATAAGTCTAGTTGTTAGACAGATATTGATAGTTTTAGATGAATGACTGGGAAATTTCTTATCTCTTTCTTGTGACTTCAAAAGAAAAAGCGCTTGGAGGAGTTGAAATTTGGCGCGATTTTGGGCAAATGCTAGAGTTGAATTTTGTTGACTTTGATCAGTTAAAATAGGAAAGCAATTTGTTGTAGAGTTTCTAAAAGATCGATATTATCTTAGGCTTTATAGATAAAGAGTAAAAACGGTTGACTAGATAGACGAAAGTTTTAGCTGTTGTTCAAAATCGTTTCGTTTAATAACATTCAACAACATTTAATAACATCGTTCAACAATATTCAACAGCATCGTTCAACAACATTCAACAACATTCAACAACATTCAACAACATTCAACAGCATCGTTCAACAACATTCAACAACATTCAACAACATTCAACAACATCCTTCAACAACATTCAACAACATTCAACAACATTCAACAACATTCAACAACATTCAACAACATCCTTCAACAACATTCAACAACATTCAACAACATTCAACAACATTCAACAACATTCAACAACATCCTTCAACAACATTCAACAACATTCAACAACATTCAACAATATTCAACATCATCGTTCAACAGCATCGTTCAACAACATCGTTCAACAACATTCAACAACATTCAACAACATTCAACAACATTCAACAACATTCAACAACATCCTTCAACAACATTCAACAACATTCAACAACATTCAACATCATCGTTCAACAGCATCGTTCAACAACATCGTTCAACAACATTCAACAACATTCAACAACATTCAACAACATTCAACAACATTCAACAACATCCTTCACAACATTCAACAACATTCAACACTTCAATCATCGTTCAACAGCACGTTCAACAACATCGTTCAACAACATTCAACAACATTCAACAACATTCAACAACATTCAACAACAACACTCAACATCGTTTTTCAGACAATGATTTGTCAAATCTCTGTCGAAAAAAATCAGGGCAATTCCCAGATTTACAAGGCTGTAAATGGTTGTGGTGATAAAGTTTCAAAAAAAATGGGGAAAAAGTCAAATCCCCTTTGATTTGTTTGGGATTTACAATTGATGGTGCTTGCTTTTCATTGCCTTGACCTAATCTGTTTAGTTTAAAAAAAGATTTACTAAAAGAAATTACCAAAAGAGGTTTAAGATTGAGTTAAACCAGAAAACCAAGAGTGAATTAAACCAAGAGTCTAATCAATCAATTTTTACAATAAAATAGAGAACTAGAGTTGAATAGGAGTCTTTCAATTTGGCTACAAGGGAAGGCTTCAAGGCTTGGGCTTAGTGCGTAGGCTAGCGCTAGCGCCTAGCACTAAGTCTATTTGGGTTTTGGGCTGAACCCCATTTTTTGGATCTCAGCGAGTTCTGGGAGCTAAGGGACACCTTTTTGGTGTTGTGCATCCGCCCCCCATAGAAGCATCCTGGCAAATTTTCTTAGGCTTAGGCTTAGGCTACAAGGCCTACTACGGCTACAAGGCCTACTACGGCTACAAGGCCTTACCTTGTAGCCAGGTAAGACCAGACCTCGGTTAGTAGCCAGGTAAGACCAGACCTCGGTTAGTAGCCAGGTAAGACCAGACCTCGGTTAGAAGCCAGGTCCAGAGCCAAGTTCAGAGCCAGAACTGACCCCAAAAAATATTGTCAACGCTAGAGATGTAATTAAAAGCTTAAATAAAGACGATCAAAAGTTATTTCCTGGATTCATTCAAAACATTGCGAAGATTTGAGAAAAAGGGATGAAAATCGAGAAAGAGCGCGGGACTAATTGGTGGATCTTTCAAGAAAAGCCGTCACGGATCAAAGGGTGCCGACTGGGGGAAAGCGAATAGGAAAGATCGCGCAACTCATTCCTATATGTTTAAGGATAAAGGGGAATCAGCCATCGGCATTCCTTCTTGTCCCTTCTTGTCACTTCATAGGAAAGGGACACATCGTCCACCTTTTTTTTTGATCAAGAGACACTTGACAATACTTTTACCGCTACTACCGCTTATTCACACACTTGACTAGAGGGGGAACCTTTCGTTTATCTTACTTATCGTTTAACTTCCTTTCTTCTTTCTTCCTCTCCCTTGTTTCCACTTCTTTCTCTGGGAAGTTCAGGTACCGAATAGGTCAGTGGTTAGAGTGCTCAGGGAAGGAAAAGGTCGAGAGTTCAATCCCCTCTCCGGTAATCTTCCAATTCCTTTACTTCTTTACTAAACTGATTTGGGTATTAGCTAGGTATCTGGATGTAGATTTGAATAGTTTAGTATTCCAATCTACATCCATTGGATTAGTTTGAGTACTAGGTACTGCTAGGTATCTGGATGTAGATTTGGATAGTTTAGTATACCAATCTACATCCATTGGATTAGTTTGGGTACTAGGTACTGCTAGGCTTCTCCATGATGAATTTTTGAATGAATTTCTTGAAATGTCTAGTACTGTAGTAGTACTGAACAATAGTACTTTAAGAAACATTAAAATGCTGTAAGTTAAACACTGGTAATTTCGAAATGTCCTTAGAAATTTTCCGGGATCTGGCCTTGATCTTGCCTGACTGACTCGAAAAAAAATTACCTCTAGAAGATCTAGAAGATCCAGAGGCAATTTTTTTTATAACTATTAGTATTCTAGTACTCTTACTCTTACTCTTACTAGAATACTAATAGTTATAAAAAAAATTGCCTCTGGATCTTCTAGATCTTCTAGAGGTAATTTTTTTCGAGTCAGTCAGGCAAGATCAAGGCCAGATCCCGGAAAATTTCTAAGGACATTTCGAAATTACCAGTGTTTAACTTATAGCATTTTAATGTCTCTTAAAGTACTACTGTTCAATACCATTACAGTACTAGACATTTCAAGAAATTCATTCAAATATAATAAACACGGAGAAATTCCAATCCAACCCGAATTCCACCTTGGTTTTCTCGGTCGTTTCTTGGTCAATTGCTCTGAAATTTTGTCTACAAGCTGAAAATATCGATTTCTATCTGTAGACGAAAATTTCAGAGTAATCGGCCAAGAAAACCAAGGTGGAATTTTCCTTTGTCCACTAGGTACTATGCATTGTATCTAGTATATAGCACAATAGCACACTAGGCACTTAATATCCTGAGAATGAGTACTGAGAAGTACAAAGGTATTCTA